ATAAATAAAAATTTATTTTATTAATGAGAAATGAAAAGGAGTACAACAGGGGCCTGGGCAAGCCCAGTGCTAGGAATGTGGGCTAAGCCTAAACACACCAGATCGTGGGCCTGAACAAAACTCAGGGCCAAAAGAAAAAGTGTTTTTGCTCAGTTAGACATTAATTCCATCTTCTTCATCTCGAGAAACTGCAAGTTTCAATCCATCTGAGTAACCATCAACAATGGACCTTCCTGTAGATAATCAGATGATACTGGGGGAGAATCCCAATCTGGCTGAAGATCCTGAGATTGATGAGGCTGCGCTGCAGGAGATAGCTGAGATTATACATGCATTTGTGATCTTTATCCAGGTTCATAGCTCAATCGAGAGATCCTTGTGTCCTGATCACTTTCTCAACTTCCAGATATTCCATGATGATTGTGAGAGGTTCTGTAACACATGAAGGATACATGCAGCAGTGGGTGGCTGGGTGCATGGTGTACCCTGGCCAGCTTAGTTCAGTACAATTCGTCGCAACACATTACATAACTCCACCCAAACTATAGCAAAGTTCTTTGTGGCCATCCGAACCCAATGACCTACAGACAGTTTCCTACTTTAATAACATGTCAAAAATAGCAAAGCTCTTTTGTGATTTCATTCCAGCTTCCAAGAAACTTTGGTTTCAAATTAATTTTAACCTTACTTCAATTTTAAGCACTTTCCATTGAAGAACTGGCCATGAGGGTCACAAACATGCTTTGATATCTGAGACTAATAACAAACATATTATCATCCACGCTGTATGAAACTATGAATACAACAGCTTCACAGATTTTAAGAACCCCCTGCTTAGTGATGCCAAATCAATAAAATCTTAAAAACAAAGTGTAACAAATTGATACCAAAACAAGTTTTGCGACAAAACAATATAAGCTCCTACATATTAAGCAGCTCAGTGTCAATTCCTACGTAGAGATGATAAACAATCATGCATTCATATACATATTAACATATATAAGTCTATTGATGGGACAAGCACTTATCAACAAAACTAAATGCAACCACCACTTAACAGTAATAAAATCCAAATGATTACAACACCTTCATTTACTAACACCACCATGTTGTGTGTATGCGGTATAAGTCAACTGTATTTACTGACAATTTCTATTTTACAAGCACTAGGTAAATTATATACATGTAATTCAATTATTAACCTCTGTATATACTATATATCCACAAAATCAACAACAATGGAGTGTTCGACATTTGTTTCCTCTACTATAAGCTTTTGCGATATCAAAATGATGGCCATGCTCTCCTGATGAATAAAAAGAACTCATTTGCTGTTCTCTTTTTTTGGGTAACGAGGTACCACCCAGTCCTCCAAGGAAGTTGGCAGCAGCGGTAAACTGTACGCCCAGGCAAAATAATTTTAACAAATCTGGCACAAGCACTACATTAAATAAAATGGACAACATCATGTGCTATAGGTACTTATATGCTGGTAGTGCAAGTTTGCATAAGCTCAGAGACATAATGAAATGCTTGTAGTGCTTTGCATAGTGTGCCCATATACTTCTATAAACTCGAGACATAATGAAATGATAAGACCCAATCATGACCCTGTATATTTACATCCACAAATGATAGCCAAAACACGGACAAGGAGTAAATCAGCTTATGTGAATCCGTACGTGTTTCCTTACCTGTTCTATGTAAAAAGTAAATCAAGTCTGAGCACACTCAAATGGATGCAAGGTTCCTTCTGCAAACTCATGCATCCTAAACCGCTCCAGAAGCTCCAAGGGACTGTAGATGAGAGAATACGGTAGTAACTAGATTTTCACTCAATGTGGTCAAAATATCTTAATGAAAATTAGCTTCAACAACAAAAGAAAAACAACAGGGGAGTTCCCTGCCCCCAAGAGGTCACAATTCAGTCCATGGTTAACAAAAATACTAGTTTTACCCAAAAGTGGAAACATCTATCATAAAATCACTTCAACAACGGCGATTAGCATTTCACTTATAGGTGTAAGAATGTGTGGCAAGTGTTCAAAACCCATCATTTTTTTTTATTAAGCAATCTATTTTTGCATGAAAGTAACAAGAACATACAGCCAGCCAGCCAGGTTACCTTGAGGTGAGTGTGAAAGATGCCTTCTTTTCTATTCTCTACATTCCCTTATCTGTATGCCGATTGGTAATGAAATAATGTATCATGATCAAGATTGGTAACGAAAACTATCATATATTCGAGTTACCAGACACTGAAAAACTTGTGGTTTTGAGAAACATCAATCAAACAAAACATTAACTAGAGAAACGGTCATGACTCATATTGCTCCTAGGACTTCTAGCACTAGTTTACAGGTAAAAATTTGACACCAAAATCATGCAAATGTATGTCCAGCATTGTAATTCAAACAAAAGGTCCACTGATGAAAAATATGTTCATTAGGTAACATTTTTATTTCTTTACTTATATGTACAATATAACTTTTCTATCGGTGTTGTATTTTGAGTTGTATATTTTGTTACCAAAATATCAATTTGCAATTGTAACACATCATGATGTCTACATGAAGTCACAGTTACTGAAAACTTACAGAATAACTTCTCTGCTGCGGCAAAGCTTATTTTGATTTCTCTCTACTACACTCAACTCATCTGCAGTCTCTGGTCCGGGATCTCCCCCCTCTACAATGGATTGGCTCTCTGCCCTTGGCGTCCACAACTAATAAGAAATACTGTCAAAAATTCAAATTTTAACCTGAACACTGGCTCCTGAATCTTAATGAAGAGACGCACCTTGATTGTAGTGTCTATCCCACTTGTTGCAATGGTGCAATCAAACGGATGGCACTGTACACAG